AATTTTGATCACATGACCATAGGGCTGCTGCAATGGTCCTAAGTGTGAACAAGGGATATAAGTCACTTTTTTCAATGCTGTTGTAACTTTGAACGGTCACTAAATGAACTGTTGTAAGTCAAGGACTACTGTTATTTTAAATGAGCTAACTTACAGAAGGCATAAATTTGGCAAAGTTATGGCTGCTGCAGTGCTGTCAGGCTGCCTCCTCACCATAGTCAGACATGGTCATGTGAATGTCATTTCCAATGCTCCCTGCCAACTTCCCACAAAGAAAGTCAGTGGGGAAGCTGGTAGGAAGCCGGAAGTCCTAGACTGGCAAGGCAGGTAAGTAAGTGGCTGCTGCCTGGTGGGGGAGATTACACAAGAGTTTGAGGGGGGTGCATAAGAAGCATGTGCAGGTCGAGGAGCATGTGTGAGAGGTGCCAAATGGTAAAATATTTGTGGGCATGCATGGAGTAGAGCTGCACTGGTCAGCAAGGCTGCACAAGGGTGTAGGGAAGGGCACATGAGGCACCACATGGGTCAGATGGTGGTGTGAGGGGTGTGCAAGAGGGTATGCAATGTGTGTCTGGGAGGTTAATAGGTATGCGGCATGGTTCATGAAGAATGCATGGAGATACCCAAGCATTAGGTAATATCACTAAAATGATGACTCCGTCTAGTTTCCTTATATTCTCTCTCTTACCAAATCCACTTGTTCATTTGGATCTCATGCATGTTGGAAAATTTGGTATTACGAGATGCAGCAAATGTCCAACCCTTCAACAAAGAAACAAGAGTAGCTATGGATTGTTTCCAGGATCCCAGGAATCCTAACTCTCATTGTATCCAAATTGTGATATTAATTTTCTTTCCAGAAGTTCCAGTCTATAGATCCAATGGAGATAGAATGTTACTGCAAAATTCTTTCCACATGACAGATCATACTTAGGAAACTGAATTTCTTGGGAAGCCCCAAGTGGCTGGTCAATCAATGAAGCACACTTGTTGCTTTCTTTTACATCAGAGATGATCACAGCTGGAGAGCCACATCTTTTCCATGATATACCGAGAAAGTTTTTTCCAGCTCTGAGTAATAACTGTGAAGCCACTAACTTGCAAAACTCTACCATTCAAAGCCAGGTATAGATATAGGTATATATATATATATATATTAAAAAAGCAGCTAACATAATGTAAGCCCACCTCTATAATGAGCACAATGAGCCACCAATCAAAATCAGGATGAGTCTCCATCCTTAATTCTCAGATAAAGTTTTTAGTCACACAGGAAGCTAACAAAATAGCTTCCTCATCAGTTTAGGAAGCTGAGGAAACAAAACCTAATTGCGGCTTGATGAACCGGGTGCACAGCACGCATTTCTGTGTAGTCATATTCGATCGATCATTAAGGGTCTCCAGCTGGGAGAGGATGGAAAGAAGTGAGTTGGCATGATAATGGAGCAAATTTTCACGGCTAAATAGAGTCTGTAAAACATTGAGGCATTAACGTTTATTTAATATGAACCAGCAAAAGAAAAACAAACTACCTGGTCCCTTCAAACATTTATGCATTATCCATCACAGAAACTAAGTAAAAACTAAAGGTCATAAGCCAATATTTTCTTTACAAAAAATCCAGAAATCTCAGACAAATGATGACTGGGATATATCTACACATTTCCATAAATTAAATAAGAATTAAGTGACTCAGAATGAAAAATCCTCAAGCTTTTTTTCCCACAAGTGGGCAATTTTCCCTCTGTGTACAACAATTTACCATTATTCTGAGGCAGAAAAAAAGCTGTTGAGTAAGCTTTAAAATATATTTATATTATTTTTTAAAAAAAACCACTTTAAAAGACAATTATGATTATTATTTAGATTATTTATATAGCTGCCTTTTCAAAATGAGTTGGGGCAAAATTAACACACACAGAGAGAGAGACCCAGTTTGGTCTGGTGGTTAAAGCTCAAGGCTAGAAAGTGAGAAACTTACTTCAGCTATGAAAGCCAGCTGAGTGACTTTGGTCCAGTCCCTCTCTCTCTGCCCAACCCACCTCACAGGGTTTTGTGAGGAAAATAGGAAGACAAAGGAGTGTTGGATATGTTCGCTGCCTTGAGTAATTTATATAAATAATAAAGGTGGGATAAAAATAAATAAAAATCCCCTCGTCAGGTAGTAGAAAGTACAGAACATACTCTTCTCATTTGAATATGATAGATACGATTTGGGTTTTTTTTCATGTTTTTCATCCCATGCAAGCTGCAAAAATATTACCAAGATACCAAATAGTTGCCTATCCCTGGACTAGGTAAAACGTATCACAACACATATCATAGACTTCCACATTTTTAAGATGACCCTGTTTCTACCTTAAAGCATGAAACTCCTGAAGTTAATTTTCTAAAGATGAAACAACTTCCAGTCAAAAGTAGGAGGGGTAAATAATAAATCCTGTCTGCCAATAAGAAAATGCTTCTGCCCCATGACCAGTGGTGGTATTCAAATATGTGAACAACCGGTTCTCTGTGTGGATGCTGCTTCCGGAAGTCTGTTCTGGGCCTGGGCAACAAAAAATTAGCTACCAGTTCTGCCGAAGTGGTGCGAACTGGCTGAATCCCACCACTGCCCATGACTCATATTAATTGCTTGACTGTATATATGATCCTGGGTAATATTAAGTATTTTCATTTATAGAGAAAAAGATTTTGGGACTAAAGACCCCACCAACAGTCTTCTGCCATATGAATCTATCCATCTGTTGAGTTTTTCTGAGACTCTGCTTTGCAGGTGCTTCCATGAGTTATGCAGGACAAGAAATCAGTGCCATCTGATTTGTAAATCAATTTCTCAAATTGCATCTTTCCATATCCATGTGCCCAAAAATTGACATCTTTGGAAATTTGGTGATGTGGTTTGTAGTTCCAAAACTACTCATGAAATGTAGTAGTGGTTAAAAGTAAGTACAGCACAAATGATGCATTGCATAATAGAAATGTTTTTGCACACCTATAGGACAGAAAACTTTATAAATAGGTTTTAGAAGAAGCATACACAAGGTTTTGTGTAGTGTTTGCTGAATTTGTAAATCATTGTGGAAATAAAATACAATTATAATCAGGAAAATAAGAAACTGAGCAAAAACAAAACTGACAGAAGTGCCCTAAAATGCAAATTTATTTTTCTTACTTAAAGATATTAATGTAGTAATTAGTATTTTTCCCTTTTAGCTTTCAATCAAGAGTATTTTTTCAAACCTTTCAGAGATATTAACTTTTTGCTGTTTTTTTAAAAGAAAACCATATACCCCTTTTAAAAGCAACTGGGTTTTGATGTTTGAGAGCAATTTTGAATATCAGGTGGTGAAATGTGGGATGTAAATAATTAAAATAAATAAATAAGGTTCAGGGTTATTTAACACATGTTCATTATATCATTGAAACTACTAGTATGACCTGAAATTTCTCACATTTCCTAGACATATCATTTGACTGTCTATTCTCATTCTCTCTGTCTCTGTCTCTCTCTCTCTCTGTGTCTGTCTGTCTCTCTCTCTCTGTTTCTCTCTCTCTCTCCCTTCCCCTCCCTCTCTCTCCCAAATGTTGAGTTCCACACAAGGGGTTTATGCTATTCCCAAATCAGATCACGACACTTGCCATCCCATGCCACTGCCTCTGTTCAGCAGCTGAATGGGCAAAATTCTAGCTCAATTATGATGCAAAAAGAACCATTCTCAGCTGGAAATGCAGAATTTTGTACAGTTTTCAGGCAGGTACTCTACAGGATGCCTGCCTGCAAACTGGGAGAAGGAGGGGGAAGTTTTGCTTCAGCCTTCCTGAACATCACTGCCCACTGGGTCCTCTAACGGAAAGGTTGCCTTGACAGTTTTGCAAATCCCACTTCATGTAGCAAGCAGAGCGGCAAAGATGAATTTTTTAAGATGCTGTCAGTTTTCCCCTTCTCTTAGGGAAGGGGCGGGCAATGCAAAGGAACAGGCTGCTTATTCTTTTTCCCTATCTTTTTTTTCTATTTCTTTTTCTTTTATAGAATAACGTTAAAAGAATTTTTGTCATTGCAGAACTTTTTATCAGATGAGATTTGTGATTTGATTTTCATTCCTTAAGCTGCTTGAACTAGCAGAGTTTTTCTTTTTTTTTTAAAAAAAAGAAAACAATTCGTCAAAGACTAGGGAATGGAAAACTGCAGCAGCAAGAAAGTGTCTGCTATTTGCCTATTAATATATTTTTCTTTCAATAGCAAAACTGTCCATCCTACTGCATTATCAGCAAGAAAAATTAACAACCTGGTGGTGTCCTAGGAAACTTCAAAATAATTGTCATTATGGCCAAATATCTACTTGTTTTTAAGAAAACATTCCATTACACAGAGATTAGATTATGCAGAAATGAGAAGCCTATTAGAATTTAGGAAATGTTTTGTCTGCCTCTTAACTAAGATCTGGAGGAGATATCTTGAAGGTACTGCAACTGCCAGAGATTTGCTATGCAAACTCCCAGGAATCTGTGTTTTGTACCTGTATATAAGTAACCCATTGGCTTTCATTCCTTGTTTAGTTATGGATGATGCTGAACCTTTTAAACATTCAGCACCTGTTTAAGATATCTCTCTTGACCTAGGCTTTTCACTGAACCATATTTTTATTTAACACAATATAATTTTGTTCACCCAAACACACCATTGTCTTTGTACTTTTACCTTAACACAAAAATGAAATATTTCATCCTTAATCGTCTCTCTGAAAATATAAATTTAAGGATAATAATAAAAAAAGGACATGAAATTCTACTCTCCTATGAAAGTTTCACAAAACTTCTCTCCGTTCACCTGAAAATGTATGTACAAGCATTTAGAAAATTACAAATATACCACTAATTCTCTGAAAAGTAAAAATCTTAGCTTTCCTTTATGAATTCATAGACTCACAGCTAAAACATAGTTAGGGAAAATATTTTCTCAAACATGTATTCTTTAAAGTAGATAGATTTGAACTCACCTCAGTACATGAGTTGATCCATTGATGGTAGTGGTAGAACAAGGTACCGTTTGTTCCAAGATGGAAGGTCTTCGATATCGTTCATCACCACAACACAAGATGATGAGGAAGGCACGTCTGAAAGACTTGTTCAAGAATGCATAAAGGAAGGGATTCAGTCCTGAATTGATGTATCCCAGCCACAAGAAAGCAGTCCATATCTGATCAGGAACTGCATAATGTATGAAAGGGTCTATTATGTTTGTGATAAAGAAAGGTGCCCAGCACAAGCAGAAACAACCCATGATGATACAGAGGGTCTTTGCAGCTTTCGTCTCAGTCTTCATACGGTGTGTGCTATGCTGGTCCGGGTGTTGGAGTCGCCCATCAGTTGGTGCCCCTGCACGCTGTAAGATTCGTATCTGGTGAGCATGCTCCCTGGCTGTAATGTATATTCGATAGTAGGCTAGAACCATTAGCAGAAATGGAATGTAGAAGGCTACGACTGAGCAGGTGATGGCATACGGCTTGTTGACCATGAATATGCAGTAAGTTGAGTTGGATGCATTGTTGAATTGCCTTTTTTCTACCTGAAGAGGTGAAACCCCCCCAAAAAAGCACAGAAATGTTAGAAGCCTACACAAATATCCCTGATAATAAAATGTTCTTTCTTAGCTTCATTTGCCCATGCGTACAAATGAGGTTAGCATCACACATCTTTCTTCAGCAATCTCTAATACAATTTTTGTCTCACAAATTAGCCCATTCTTTTCTTTCATAATTATGATTTGTCCTATTCATGGCATTTCCCCACTGCTGTTAATTCTCTTGAATGTTTCCTCTATTTTCAGCAACTTTTGAACTATGGCAGAAAGAAAATATAGTACTAAAATATCAAAACGGGGGAACAAATAAAATGCAATTAATAATAATAATTTATTAAAATTTTATGGCACCAGATTTTGAGCAACTGTGGGTGGTTATTTTTTGAGTGTGTAAAAATCTGTTCTATTGTCCAGTATATCAGTTTTGGTGACAGGAAAGGATAGAAGAGAAATAAAATTAAACGTTATTAGTTTTTAAGGAAAATATTGCATTTTATTGTAGTAAATGCCACTGATGTAAAATGATGATGTAAAAATCCAGATCTGGAAACTATGGTTTCAAAATATCTAGAGAGTATTTTGGAGGTAGCATGCTGGAAAAGACTATTCTACACATTACATAAGTGATAACAATTGCGGTACAATTTATATGACATATTAGTATTGTTTCATTCAGTTGATATGAAATATTAGTATTGTTTCATTCAGTTACTGTATGCTGGAGCAGAATTTTAGGAGTTGTGATTTCAATACATTTGAAACCGGGGAAACCAGTTCAGAATTTTTCTCCATCTGCTTATGATTCCCTGAAACAGATAGGGTGATTTTTTTAAAAAAAATCTCAAAAGCTATAGAATCTGCATGATTACTAGATTACTATGAACTCTAAGAATTAGACAAAAATTGCATCAGATCCATATCTCATGAAAAGAGTTAATATTGCCTCTCATGTGTTATTGACACTTTGTTGTGGATTAGAATTCTTCATCTAGAGAACAATTATCATAAGAGTTGGAATACTGTCAATGTCAGGCAATAACTTCAGAAAAACAAACTTTCAGAAAAGAATGGAGAGTAGGGAGAGGATTAATGAAGCAAATGTTTTATTTGAACAATGGATCTACTAAAATGTTCTGGGAAGCAGTCTAATGCTGTGTGTGTAGTCAATCATCCTGTACGCCTAATAGAGGACAGGAGATATCCAGAATATACTGTACGTAAGAATTAATGTTTCTTACATGGACTGTATGCTATGTGATTCAGCATTCAAAGCACTGTTCATTTAACTATTGTTTTCTTTTAAGTCTAATAGTAAAAAAATGGTTGTTTATCATGCAAAAGGTCCATATGGAAGCAATAAATATAAATATTGTATTTTCTTTTATCAAAGAAGTCAATTTTAGCCATCTTTTTTCATCATCTTCACTAACCATTCCTCCATTGTAAGTAGTGCCAAATCTTTTCATCTTTGTGCATACAATAATGTTACTACAGTTATCATGTATAAAAACAAAGATCCAGGACTTTTTCCCTCCAAAGGGCATACTAACAATACAGAAAGGCAGATAAGGTGGACAAGTTGTCTATCCTTGACCTGAAAGGATTATGCTTTAAGGAAGCCCTCTTGCAGAAAGCATCTTTAGATCTACCTCTGTTCAAATAGATGTTTATCTTATATAACCAATATCTCCCCCGATAGAACTAAGTACAAAATGAATACAACAGGAACATATTCAATTAGAGAAGTCCAGGCTTTCCTATTGTTCCACCTGAGTCTTGGACGGAAGCTTGGGAAAGAAATTATTTTACAATTTCACTATTATTTTGGGGTGCTTTTGACCTCAGAGTTATAGGATACTACTCTATAACTTTTGTGGCCAAAAAGAATACCAAAGCTTATAACAACAGATCTAAAGGTAGAAAAATGTCTCTGAGGTCTTGAATGTTCCAGCTTTGTTTTAATTCTTTTACTGTTAATCAAACATTTCAAAATGAATAAACAGAGAGTACTGGTATGGACTAAATGTACTTTAACTTTACAGACATTTTCAGTTCTAGAATTCAGTGAACAAACTTTCCATTGCCATTTAAATCGTTTCACAACTAAGGAATCAGGTTTATAGTAATCATCCAAATTACAGTGAGCCGCAAATAGCAGAGAACAGCAAGTTGAAGAATGTGTCCGTTGATTAAAGCTGTTAAAAAAACTGCAAGTAACGTACATTTTGGGTGGTACATTTACTCAGCTCTACGATATGTAGAAAAAATTAGCTACCCAAAAGTGATGGTGTAAGTTATCTGGAAACATTTTGAAATATTCGGACTGGATGATCACAGTAACATTTATTATTTTTACATTATTTATGAAATTTGTAGGCTCATTCTGAGTAGTTTATGCAGTAAAAACACTATAATAATCAAAAGTTCAAAAAACCCTAACAATTATTTAGAAAAGTCAGAATGTCACATGAGATCCATCACTTGTTCTAACCAGAGCCTGTGCTAGTTTTAATGTAAATAGCTACAAACATGGATTAAATGGAGTTATCGTTAAAAAGTTTGAATGCTCCCCCCTCCCCCCCAGAGGTTAGTTTAGCTCAAATCTTACTAGGATATACTTTAACTAAACTAAAGTCATCTATAGAACTAATCAACATTAACATGTCTTGCTTCAAAAATATTCTTATTGTTCTTTTTTGCAATTTTCTTCAATTATAGAATTTCAAATTGTGTATAATACCGAGAGCCTAGAGCAGTTTTTCATACTGTAAATGGGACTTTGTGTGGAATCCAAGACTTTCACAAGAAGTCACTATGAGAAAACATCACTGAAAAAAATGAACTTTGCTTAGTGCACAAGGCCAGTGCTCAGAGTGATGGGGATTTTTGCACACCATGACTCAACTGCTGGCCTGCTGCTTTATATTGTGGTAGAAATTGCAAAAGGAGGGCTGTGTAGGTTCGAAGTGAATTGTATTGTGAAATTATAATATTGGTTGCCATTTTTATAGAACCTGAACATTATTTCAAGGGTTCCTCAAAGGGAAGAAAGCTAAGAAAGGCTGGCCTAGAATGGGAAATATATACATTTATAATTTATGTAATTTATATTTAAATCAACAAAAAGCCACACACAACAGCCACACACAACAGGCCCAAAGCGCACACTCTGCTAGAGAGAGGTTCCCTGTGGATGGTTTTCAGCACGTGTCTGAAAACATGGAAGACTAAAATGTCTGGTTCTGGTGACTGACCCAGATTGGATCCTGCAACATTTTCCTGGGACACATATATTCGCCTTCAGTCATAAATCAATAATAATGATATACAATCATTCAAGATTAAACAGGGCTGTAGGCAAAATAAAAGTCTTCTGATTTTGACCTGGAATAGGTTTCACATCGGGCAACTGAGATCTACTCACCAAGTCCATGATGCCAATGCTATTCCAGCCTTGCATTATAGGAAGAAAAGAAATAAACATTGGGATTACCCAGCAGCCACTCAGCAATAAAGCAATGCGTAGTGGAGTCATCTTATTCCTGTAAACCAATGGCTGGCAGCAGATGGCATAGTACCTGGAATGGCAAAAAGAGAAAGCTAGCACACATAAAGAGCAAAGGCAAGATCAATATGGCTTACATTCCTAAAGGTGCTTTTTCAAAAGGCAACTGGACTTTGTCTTTCCTTGAAGACATTTCGCTTCTCATCCAAGTAGCTTCTTCAGTTCTGACTAAGACCATGACCTGGATGACTGAGAATCTCCACAGATATTGCTGACATTCATATCCCACCTCCTTTAGAACGTTGCCTTCTTTTATTCGAGGACATGAAGGTCAAATAGTTTTAAATTTAAAGCACGCAAGATTTACAAAGGAGAAAATTTGCCCCATGGCTGAATCAAATGTAATTTTCCTTATTCTCTCAGTTTCCTTTCATGTACAGCATAGCTTTTATTTTTGCTCTTAAGATACTTTCACAGTGATTTTTTTTTCAACAATAGGGAAATAAATGTCATCTTTATGCACTTCTAATTTTCCTTCCATATTTGGCAGGGAAAAAAGTTCTGAAGTGGATGAAAGTTACTGCAGTATTTTCTATTCAGAACAAAATCTTCATGAACCTCTCCCTTCTCAAAATCTCTCAACCTCAAATTGGCTTATTATTGTTCTTTCAAAGAAGTACATTCATTTTAGTTTCGATGCTTTCAGTGATGATATGAAACAAACTGTGAAGGGTTGCATATGTCCAGGGCTGCAGGCTGGGGCTCTGCAAGATTAAAGTACTCATGCTTAGTAACAAGATGATTGCCTCTTTGTGAAACTCCTGCCCCAAGAACGAACATTTGGCTCTCCCTCCAGCTAATGAGCATTAAAACCTGTTGTTCTGTTTTCTTACAATGTTTAATTAACAGTGTCTGGCTTTTTAAACTGCTACTGATTGTTTTATATTCTTATTTTCCCCTGTGAAATGCTACATTGAACTGATGTGGCTTTATGCTGCTCTATTGATTCATACAAACCAACATGCACAAGCAGCCTTGAAAGAATCTTTCTACCCTGAAATAAAATACAACAAGATCAAAATAAAGAGCTTGGGAGAGATATAGCAATCTGTGTCTGTCTTCTATTTATCTAAGCTCATTTTTATAGCCCTTAAGAGTCTTTCTTCCTCATTTTTGTGAACTGTTATCCCTACCTTTTTTGTTTGTTGGTTTATTATTTAGCTAACAGTAAGATGTCTAAAATAGCCTGTGCTATACAAGCAAAACTTGGTATTTGGGAGCTTAATGGAGCCTGCCTGCCTTCCTTCCTTCCTTCCTTCCTCCCTCAACCTCGTCTCTCCACTCTGCTTTTGATCTAACCCAGACTGAAAGGTTAGAGAACTAAATGCACCTAGAAATCTCAAGAAAAGCAAATCTGAAGAAAGTGAGAAAAATTCACACAACAGAAATGAATTTTAACTACTTCTATTTTATGGATTTTTCTCTCTTCCAATTCTGTAAATTCCATCTCTTGTTATATTTCCATCATGCAAACAACCTTGCAAGAAGCAGCATCTAACTCACCTCCAGAGTGTGGCAGACACTCTGTGGTAGCATTAAAAATGTAAGTATTTGGTGAATAGGGAGGCAACTGTTATTATTTTAACCACAGGAAAGCATTATTGAGGAACACCCTAATGATTCTTGTCTCGGAAAGAGTTTTCCCCCTCCTGCTGATGTTTATGCTAAATGAGTCGAAAGGTCTGCCCAGGTGGTCAAATACTGGCAAGAATGAAAAGCATTGCGCTATTATCAACATTAAGGATAACTTAGCACTTAACTTATCGATAGAGCAAAGAGAAGGACAGAAAAAAGTTGCTTTCCACATGGGGAGCCTACTCAACGGTAAAGTCCTTACTGGAGATGAATGTTTAAAAGCGGTCTCTGCATATCATTAGAAAGAATGATGAAATTATTAAAATACCAAAAAATGTGTTAATTAATTTAACATGTGCCAGGGCTTGAGTCCCCCAACATGAAGCCTGGAAGTGCCTGCTGGCAGTTCCCTTGAGGCCCCCAGGGCTTTTGCCTACTTGACCTTTCATGTCTTTGAGACAGAGGCCCAGAGAGAGGATGACATGCTACAAAGCAACACAGGAGCTTCCAGCATCATTTCAACCAATGGTTCCCACATGGACTTCACCAACTAGCAGCATTCACAGGAAATGGGGTGTGTGCATGAAACCATAGCATGGTTGCAGCATTGCATCACAAGTTCTACCCTACACTACCTGTGTTGCAATGTTGCCCATAATTCTAAAGGAGCTTGTGCTATGATATTATGACGTCCTGATTAAAACAGCAAAAGCTGGCAAATGCTGTTTCTGTCAGCTTTCTTGGAAAATAAAATAAAAATACTTACTTTGGAAGTAAGGTGCCTTGTCAGGAAAAAAATCTCACACAAAGGTAAGCAAGGAATGAAAGTTTGTTCTCCAAAAAGGTGAACAGAGGTATAACAGGTTGCATTCTGGTAAAATGATATTTTATAATGGATACATCCCAGTTAGAAAGGAAGTAAACTTTTTTAGCCAATTATATACAGTGTGGAAGCCATTCTTTCTTAGGATATGAGTTTTACTATTTACAGTAAACTGGAAAGGTGCATAGAGATTCTTCAGGATTGTTGACAAATCCTTTGAAAAGGAACACAAGCATTTGGCTATACTCATAGCACACTCATCTAAGGTAAGATTTCTTATAGCCATTTCCAAAAGAAGCTGGGTATCATATCCTAGGTGTTTCTCCCTTAAAGTATTATTTTTCTCAACTTACAGTAAACGTAAGAACATCTTAAATGGGACAAGCGGGAGGAGATTAGAAATATTCCTTTTCTTTTTGAGATTTCCAGCCATTTTTATTAGAATTTCTCTATCTTTATGCAAGCACGTGTGTTTGATGTACAAAAATTGAAAGTGGTAACCTGAAGCCCACTAGCAATGTCTCCACATTATTAGTGGAAAAAATGAAGGAGATGAATCATAAAAATGTGCTGATATATGGAGAGATTTTGTTATCGCATCATGAACAGAAGATGTAAAGATTCTGAAGATAGTTCCAAAAGCCATTCTGAATATGGAACTCACAGTAATTTGTTTGCTTTTCGACAAGATATGGAAGGTAGTAGTAGACGATGTATCCATACAAACTGAGGCGATAGATAACACACACGTATGTCTCTGCACACACATATACAAACACTTTCACTCTGTCACAGTGTTTAGAATCCAAAGCTTTGTGTCTGATAGCATAGGAGCATAGTCAATTGGCCTCTTTGAGAGGAAAGGAAAAACATAGGAAGCACAGCATTCCGATCCAAAAAAGATTCCCTCACTTAAAGTGTCACATTAAACAAGTTATAATACACTAAGACAGTTCAAGAGAGACAGCTTGGGCCACTTAATCTGACAACGACAAGCCTTCATCTCAAAAGAAATCTTATGTTTTTGTTCTGTACAGTTTTATGGCTTGGTGGGCCACAGTTCTGTAGGCGTCTTCGCCTCTGTGGTATGCTGCTCAGAGGAATGGAGCTGGTGAAGGACTGCTCCTGTTGAAGATGTCAAATCATTAATTCTTTCACATTTAAAGAGTCCCCTACAGGATAGCACCTGATAATGGCTCTGGGGACAATTTTGCATTAAATATTTACAAGTCTGCGGAGTGCTTTTCTTCTGTTGGCAAGACAGAGAGAAAACATGATTAGGTGGGCAGAGAAATGAGCAGGAAATCCCCTGGCTCTGAACTCACTGAAACTGAAGTAGCAAAATGATATGGAAACCATTGGGAAATGTTGCTAGTTTAACCACAATGAGAGGACAATTCAGTCAGACTGTACTGCTTCATAGGTTTATGAATTTTTGGTCATCTGCAGCTGACAGTGTCATGTAAGGTTATGTTAATTAATAAAAGGAAAGGCTATTGCTATAAAAGCATCATCTTGGAATTTCATATTTGTTGGGGGTTCCCACTTTAATAGGGATACTCTCCATAAATTAACACACATATAGTCATAAATACAGGCTCAAGATATCCTCTACATGTTTAGTAACAATAAAATTCTAGTATATTGAGTACAGTTGTAATACTATTTTATTCAGGCAACGTATATTTCTTATCATCACAATAAGAATCTATGAAACACATAGCTTTCTAAAAGGAATTATTTTAATGCCAGCACTAAATTATACCTTGGTATTTTGCTGCAATTAACCTGTAACTGAAATTGCCAAGTTTTAAAAGCAATTTGTGACATAGATTTAAGGTGTATAATTCACAGAAAGAATAAAAGAGAGATAATTCTATTGCTCCTATAAGCTGCACTGGGTCTTCAGATCTACCTATCTACAGTATATACTACTACAACACTCATTGTGTTTATCTGTTTGTACTTGCAAGTTAGCCCAAACAGCTATACTCCAACAATTTTTAAATCAAGATACCTAAAATCTGCTAACTTAAAGAACATGTAAAAAATCCAGGACTCATTATTTATTCCTCTAGAATTATAGACTTTGGTGGAAGAATAATAAAGCTGGCTTCTGATAGATAAGACTGAAATAAACCAGACTGAAGAACATATGTGCATTTTAGAATAGTAATTTCTAGCCTGCTATATCAAAAGCATCCCAATCCTAAATATTGTGGTAATAATTTCCACATATTGAATTAGGAACTAGGAATTAGCAGTAAACTGGCCAATTTTGCTGATGCGCTCAGAGACATGCAAAGCAAAACAAATTCATGAAGGTCTCTAAAAGGGGTAAATATACAATAAAATATGCAGCACGGTCAAACAGGAACTTACTCGAAAAACATTTCTAGCTTGACATATAAATAGATGTCATCTGAGCTGGTGATAACTGATTAGGAAACAGAATTTGACAATAAAATGCATAACAACTTTCTTGGCAAATCTGGATCTAAACCAAGTTAGCACCGCTCCCAAGTGTCCTAGAATAGCTGGCATGGTCATAGTTGAGAACAGCATTATTTCCCTTGAAAATCCTGCCTCAGGAAGGTATGTTTTTAGCAAAGAGA